GACTTTCTGGACGGCATTCGCTGGAGTGTTGGCCCAGTCAAAATGTCGGCTGCCAAAGTAATATGGCAGAACAATTTTTTGATTAATTTAGAGCCGCGGGCACGGGCTCGCTTTCCGCCGTTCACGCACACACGCTCACGTGGGGAAAAGCGGCAAGGGTGAAAGCGGGGAAAACTCGAGTGAGCTCGAAGCGCCAAGCACCGCACTCTTTGCGCAATTAGCCCCACAATGGCCGAGCGCGTCGAGTGAGTAGCTCACTGAAAACTGCCTGGCAGTGTGGAAAACTGGCTGGCAGGACGTCGCCAACAGGTAGCAGCCAATGCCAATGCCACTGCCACTGGAACTGGAACTGGCAGCTTGCAGGTGCGACACGCGGCCAAAACCCAAACGCAGGGAACATACTCGGCAGCACTTAAAATTTAAAGCATTTCGAGTGTAATTGCGCGGTTGCCGTTAACGAGCCGCTTGTTAAAGTCCAGCGATGCCAAAAAAACAGAGAGGAAGTCAGCGCTGTCAAGCCGAAGATTGTATACCCTAGCAGTGCATATATATTCCACAGACCACTCTATTATCAAAAATAAACAACTAATTCTATATTGTCATTAATATACTTTCTTGAAAGCTATAAAAAGAAGCGAGCAAGTGGAGGATAATTAGCTGGACAACAAAGAGGAAAGCAAAGTTAATTGCTGAACTTATTAGTAATGAATTTATCCTAATGGTGTAAGCGCTTTATTAATTTCTTGCATTTCCAGAAAAGGTTTTGAGTTAGTTTTCATGCATCAATCAGTAATGCCAAGTAAGCCAAAATACGCAATGCCTCTTTTTGTTAACAACTTAAATAATAAAACATTCATTTGTGGCTCGGATTCGATTTGATATTAAGCTACAACATTAAAATTAATATGACTATTAAGCTACTGAGCTACCATACCCACCTAAAGGGCATTAAAAGGCAGAAAATTGTTCGGCACAGCGCTTGAGGAAAAGGCAGACAATGTTTTAACCCCGTAGAACGGCACTCGTGATGATGAAGACGCAGATAAAGCTGGAGGATTGGTTTTGAGCGGGAATGGCGGAATCTGTACCGACGAGGATGCTCCGCGGAAAATGAAGGACTTATGCAACTGGTGCGTAAAGTGCATCCGACCAGGACCTGCATCATCATCCGAAAGAGCCGCAGAGTTCGACGCCGTAATGCCGCGCTGGCTAAAAGTGACCAGCGACATGGCCATTATAGAACTCGATTCCTGGCCAAGGCTTATTCTTACGCTATTGTTGATGTTGCTGCCGCTGCGTTCCTGCCACGGCATTAATTAACATTTCAATGGACGACCGCAGTGAAAGAATAATTTCGCTGCATTTAACTGAACGACCTTAAAGTGCTCTGGAAAATGGTAACCGCCGAGTGGAAAGAGGTGGAAAGAGGTGGAAAGCGGTGGAAGCCGACAGGCGTTTTTCTGCGCATAATTCAACTTTTGTGGGGTGAGCAGCAGGGCCCATGGCATACAATTCGAGGCATTTTGGCCAGAAATGTGCAGGTCCAGCGCAAATGAATGAAGGCCGTCTGTCTGTGACCCACCGCTGCGTAATTTACGGACAATTCACATATGAAAGCCACAAAAATCCGATTTTTGCAGGCGTAAGAGACAACATCTGGCCAAATTAATCGCAAATTGGAGCGGCTAATTGACACCTGGCCATAAAACCAGGCCCCAAGGCAATCGGTCAGTCAGCAAAGTGGCCACAAGACCGCAGCCTAAACAAACAAAACGGCCCACAATCCACCAAGAGATGTATAAAAAGCACAAAAAAATAAAAAAAAAAACAAAAATAACGTTAACAATGTGCAGCAGCCGGCTCAAAAGGGTGCAAATGGAAAATAAACAAGGTTTATACAGAATCAACATGCGCTAAAGGCGGATTTAATCGGGGGATGCTGTACTACGTTTTTATTTTAAAGGTTTCTCCTGATTGATAGCCACATTGATAGATGGCCCACTGGAGGAGTCATTTCATTTTACTGCGGCCAGTGGAGTAATTAATATTTACCTCTCCCATTGTTGGGCCTTTTTTCCCCTCCCCCCCGGCTTTCTTCGCCTTTCCACTTAGCCGAGCTTTTCCTTTTTTCTCCAACTTACAAATTACGCACTAATTAAGCAGCTTTCGCCAACTGCCATTTTTCAAAGTCATTCGCGCACTCAACAAGGCCTGGACTTGGGTTAGTTGGGTTCCGCATCCTTATTTCGTCCCTGAATTCGAATCAGTCGCTCTCACCTCAGTTTGTTGTTCGTTGGGTTGGCAGCGCACTAGGCGGCAAAAGTTAATGTGCATAATTAATTCGCTTTTGCACTTTGCTCGGCTCCCCGTTTTATTTGGCGGTTGCTTTTGTTTGTTGCTCCGCCCCCTCCTCAAGTCGCATAAATCAAGTCGAAGCGCAGATAGACCGCATCCAACGACAATTGCCAAGGTCGTGCCTACGAAAAGGCATCCATCATACGCCCCGTGTAACGCTTTTTAATTGCCTTTGCCATTCCTTCAGACACAGCTAAAAATTCAATTGGCATTACATCAGGCACAATAAACAACTTCATTTGCCATACTTACTGCCAGATAATTGAATAGCTTTCGGCACAAAAACCAGGGGAAAAGCCTCTGATGCTGCGGAGCTGGATTGGCATTTCAGGAAGCTCACATGCGCGACACGACTCGTCTAACATGCAAATGCCAAATTCAATAAACCGAATGGCAGGCAACAAATAGACCAAATTATTACATAGCCACACGCACACATACACGTGGCTGGCAGTGGGGTTATTGGACCGAAATGTGGGGCGTTAGGCGAGCCACCCACCGAGCGAAACCGCTGAGCTACTTAGCAAAAGCCGAAAAACCGTAGAAAAAATACCCCCCCACCCCACGCGGCGGAAAAACAAGGGAGTTTTCCGACTGAAATTGAACGACAAAAGTGCGTGCAATTGGCAGCCATATTGCGATACGTAACCAGTCGAAAGGGAAAGTCACCCCCAACCGCCCAACCACCCAAGCCACTCATCCCACCCACTAAGTGGAATATACTTCTACTTATTGCGGCCATAAGTCGCTCGGGTCGTATGCGTGATATGAGTGTAAGTTAAACAGTATGTCGCTCCCCTTCGAGATCGAGAAAATTCCGCTCGGCCCCCGGGGAGTTGTGTAATCATTTCTCGACTGACAAAACTCATTTAGAAACACCCTTGCAGCCCAAGTTGAAACTGCTTTTTTCACCAACTTAAATTTTGCCATTCACTTAGACATGGCCGAAATCGGTGCCGTTTTCCTTGCTCCTATTTGGCAGATTACTTTTGTTGTGTTTTAGCTCTCGCCTGGGTCGGGACTATTAATAAATTTCTCAGCTGGGAATTAACATTTACAGTTAGCTGACCGAACAACTTTGGCCGACAAACTTCAATTGCGTCACATTTATCAAATCGCCGGCCCCTCGAAGCTCGTCGGCCGTTTAAGCAGCCTCCTGGGATCGCAAGTCCACTCCACGAGCCTCCAATCTCTGCCAGGAATTTGTGCCTTTTTATTTTTGACTCAGCACAGAGAAATATGATGCGGGAATTCAGCGTTCAAAAAAATAAATACGATTAATTATCATATTGCTAACCATGTGCACTGTAAGCTACGAAGAAACAATGCCACTAATTGAACAAAGAAATAAGTTGGAAAAAGATTACTTATCGTGATTGTATTATATTTAGTTCTGCATGACATGTACGCTATTTTTCTGGTATTTGATCTTATATCTGTATTGTTAAATCCAAACCCTTACCCATTTCCCTCTGTGCACTGCAACGCTGGAAGCGATTTTGATTTTGGCGCTGAGTAAGTGTTTAGTTTACGGCTGCCATGTCAGAGGACCGAAGGCTTAAAGCTTTTTGCATATTTCGGCTGCTGCTGCCGCTCATAAATAATTCAAATAATTTACACGCTTACTTGAAGTCCGTGTGCCTGTGAGTGTGCGTGTGAGTGCATCGTGTGTGTTCTGGCTTGTGTGCGGGTGTGGGTGTGCCACATTATGTGGTTCATTGGTTTGGGCCAAAAACTGCAGCCAACTAGCAGCAGCAGAGCAATCAAGTACGTACGATGATGCTGCAGCTGCAGTTAACTAAACTGAACTCAACTCAACTCAACTTTCCACTACACACGCACAGGCACACGCACACACACACACACACGCACACAGCTGCACCGCACCAACATAAACAGAAACATCTATATAGGACTCTTGTTGGTTACTGCGGTTTGCATTTTCATATCGTACTCTCTAATATTTCACAACAAGTTTTGTTGTTGTCCTCGCTGGCGCATAAAAAGGCGAAGCTGCTGCGTTTTATGTTGTCACGTTGGCTTCAAGTGCCCCAAAGGGGAAATCCCCCTATTCCACCCATATATCACTACACCCCACGTCATGTACACACACACACCCACACACACACGCACCAGTTTATGGATTAAGTAAGCACAAAGAGCACAAATGAACTTTTCTTGCTCTCGCTGAATTTTGCAGTTTTAATTTTTGATTTCACTACGGACAGGAACGTTGAAGGCGAAACTTGTATGGCTGGGTTTTATGGCAACTAGGGTCCCTTTGTTACACTTAAACGTAAAAATACCACAAAAGTACAAGCAAAGTCGCAAGTATCATGTTCATCATAAGAAAGAAATATTAGAAACATAATACACATTACTCACAATAGTTTGAATGAAATTAAATATCAGTCGGAATTATGTAATAATATGCTAAAATTCAAAGGGTACATTCCAATTTGTACTGTATAAATTACTTTCAAAAACATATTACTTCCACACTTTTTGTGGCAAATGCCACAAGCCTTTGGGAATTTAGACCCAATTATGCATTTTACAGTGAACGATAAGCGAATTCCAGTAAACTTGTATGTTTGCCAAGTTGCTTCATCCGACTGCCAGTCAATTTGTGGCATTTGTATAAAATGGACGCAGCTTATGTGAAATTTATGATGTGCCAGTGCCTTATAAACCGGGCGGATTGGGGCTTAGCCATTGGCTGCATGAACATCGTGTACTCCTTTTTCCTGTTCCAATTTTGGGCGGTGGAGCTCTTCAGATCCTTCGACAGTAAGTTCTTTGTGCCCAGGAACCAACTTATAAATCTCTGAACACCGCCTAGATTATCCAATCAAGTGGGTTTTGTTGTACGGCTTCAACATGATGTTCAATGTGATCGCCATGATGAGGATAGTGAAAAGGGAAAGTATCTCGGTCTTCTACTGGATGTGCGAAACAGGTGCCCTTTTAATATTCCGAGTGCATCACATTTATTACAATGTAGATGAGTTTTGGCTGGCCCAAAGGGAGTTGTACCGTGTGTCCAACATTATAATCGATGGTGAGTTTCTTTCCGACTTCCATGCCAAAACGTAATGTGTTCTCGCAGTTTACATTGGACTGTCTATGCTGGCTATGATTTATGTAATGTGCGGCCTGCGTTTGAAGCTGGAGGGCCAGTTTCCCGAGGAGGCAATGCCTAATGATTGCAAATTCGCTCCAGAGTTAGCCAAAAAAGCTGCTCAGAAGAATGCGGACGAGTTGTCAGCAAGGGAGGAGCAGCAGTTGGCCCAACGGGAAAAACTGGAAAGCGATCGTGAAATGGTGGAATTGAATCCTATTGAAGCCACTTTAAAACTTGCTCATATGGAGGAGGAGGCATGCCTGTCCAGCCAGGAGGTAACACCCACAGCACCCGAAGAGGAAAGTTTCCCTTCCAGCATTTTCCTTATGCAAGACTTTCCCGAACCTTCAGCTCCGCCAGAAAGCAGACTTTCCATCGAGCCGGATTTCTGGTACGAGATCAATGATATAGTTGCCTCCGGCGATCAACAGAATGATTAATCATTTCCTTGTGTAGATAGCCATAAGTTTTAGATTCGCTGGCAACATAAACAATCCAAATGGAAGTAAATAACATTTTCACTTGACCCCCAAAAGTCTGACCGCAACTTTTGGCAACAAAGCCCAAAACGGAGAACAACAAACAAACAAATGGAGCAAAACTTGACTTAACTTTTCCGACGGGGCTTTGCCAGGACGGGGGTTTCCTCTGTTGGATAAGGGATTACGATCAAAGCGTTCGATTGAGTGTGTCAATAAATTCCTGCCAGTCGACCGAGTGTGGAACATTTGTCCGGCAGCGGCGATAAATAGTTGCCACACGCTTTCGTTGCCCATGAAAAATCCAAAAGAGACAGATCCCTTTTGGCCGGAAAGTTTCGTGTGAATTTAGTGCGGCTCATTAAGCCGGACAGTGTCAGTCATGTGTGTATGTTTGTCCTGCTGCCCGACCCGTGGACCAGTGGACCAGTGGACCAATGGCTTTCGGTTCAAACTTCATTAAGCTGGCGGAGGAAATTGCCGGGCCATTGTCATTCTTATTCCCATTCCCATTCCCATTCCCATGCCCAAGCCCACTCCTGATCCTAGTGCCATTCTCACTGTCACTGCAGTAGACTTCGTTTAATAATGGCCTGCCGGGCATTTGTCAACGGGATGCTTTGGGAGCCAGGCTTTAAATGAGCGCGCTCATTAAGAAAATTAATGTTTGGGATTCATTAAAAGTGTCAAAGTGCGCACATTAAAATTATATAAAACGCCGGGGCGGAGTGACGCCTGTAAGAAACGAAGCGAACTGTTGTCTCGCCTGTTGTCGATTTTATTAACAAAACAAAGCATTAAAGGCGCATAAAATGTTGACATAGCACCGCGGCTTTCTTCCTGGCTCCTCATAAAACCGTCTCATATTGACAGCTCAAGGACTTACGCACACAGCGAGCCCTGCATGTGTGTATTGTATGTACTATACGCACACATATCGTGTGTCCTGTCGCAGCATCTCATAAAACTAAACCGCAATTCATCAGTAAATTCCTTTCTACTCTCGTGCTATGGCGTTATTTTCTTTTTTTTGGTCAGCCCGTTTGCCGGAGAATATGCTACAATTTTATGCGTCTCGTAAAATGCGAAAAAATTGTTTTTATTATAATTATTATGTTAAGCATGGTGACGAAGCAAGTTTATTGCACTCGCCATAAAAGTGGCTACCTCGATGAAGTGATGATGCTGTCAAACCTTAGTTGCTCTTCGGTTTTCCCCCATCCAAAACTTGCTGCTGCTGCTTATCTGGGTGCCATTTATAATGGCAAATTATTTGAGATTTTCGCTTAACTTTTTGCCATTTGAAACAATGACACACGCTTTGCGGAAAGTCAACAACCTTAGCCTGTGCAGTTTGCAGTTTGCATTGCGTCCTTGCAATATCCCGCTGTCATTTTGCACTGTGAGAAATTTTTAGAAATAGAATCTGCATTATATTATAGTGTTATATCCCAACGCATGCATTCCAAACCTAGTTGAAGACGATCGGTAATACAAGATGGTGTGGTTTTTCGCTGCGTGTATGGACACAACTCGAAGGGGCCGCATGTCACGCACTGGAAAATGCTTAACGCTCCCCAGCACCCACGCATAAGTTCGATCCGGGAAAGGGGGTCCACACAATGGGAGTTTTACGTGCTGGCTGCTCCGAAGGACGTCGCGTGTACGTTTAAAGTTTCTGGCTCATTAGTATGGTGCTTAAAAATATAAAATGTGTGCCCTCGAGTTGGGCAACGCAAAAGCAGCAAGATTGTTAGTTGAGCGCACATTAAGATAGTTGCGGTCATAGAAATACATTGCAATCCCTGTGGTTCTGGCCACAAGATGTGGCAGCTTCAATCAGGGCCCACGCGTCGTATGCGCAATGGCCAAGCAATTGCAAGAATCAATGTTTTATTGTTGAACAAATACGGTGAGCAGGACTCGAAGCCTCAAAGCCGCAAGCCACAAAAGTCAGGAAAGAGCAGGAAACCCGGGGAAAACCGGGGAAACCCGAGCAGGCAAATAAATGAAGGCCGTAATTATTGGCAAGGAAAATACTGACGCCGGAACGGGGCCAAAATGTCACGTACTGGCAATAAACCGCTGCTAATTTACGATGCTGCTCGGACTGCCTCTGCTCCTGATCCTGGCCAAAGTCCGAGTCCTGGCTCGCGTCCTGTTCCTGCTGCTCCTCGGCAGCCAACAAAAGGCGAAACAGCGGAAGTCAAAAGGCAAACGCCTAAGCAGTTTGGCCAACTCCAAGAACTCCGGAATGTTGCGCATTACGGTCGCTGCATAGAAATGGCCATCAAATTGACGACGGCAACGAAGGGCGAACCTATCGAAACTGCCAATAACCAGGACAAAGGCCTAATGCGCATTAGCCGCCCTGGAACGTGCATTAGATATATTAAAATCGGAGCTGGACCAAGCCAAGGACCTGTGGTCCCTGCATTGTTCGCCATTGCGTTTTGTTTGCATCCATTAGCGGGAAACGCACTGGTGCAGAAAACCGTGGTCCGAGGATTTTCCCATTTTCCTCGCGTTTAGTTTCCAAAAAAAAATAATTGCGTTGCCTACGCGTCGAAACTCAACAGGCAGCAAAGAGCGCTGGGCGAAGAACGGATTTTCGAGTTCGAAAAACGTTTTCTCTTAAATGGAGACTTGCCAGAATTGGCGTATAAGAGAGCATTCCAAGGCGCCTGCGTCGGCGGGGGCAAAAGTCTACAGGAAAATCAGCTGCTTTTCGGCGATTCCGTCTACTTCAAAACGGCCACATTGAAGCAGTTTGTCAATAGTTACGCTGAAGACGCGACGCGTCTGCCGAAACGTTTAAGGAAAAGCGCCGAGCATAAAATCTGAAAATTATTCAAATAACTCATATTCGAAACAAACAACGCCGAAGACTGAAAGCCGTAATCAAAACACTGAACTCTGAATGCTAAAACGGGTATTAAAAGCTGTTTAAATGTTAAGCCAAGTCCTTGCAAACGCGAGTTATTACTAACCATTTTAATCCGTCTAATTGAATAACCAAGACCCGCATAATTAGCGGGCGACCGAGAACAAAAAACCGAGACTGAGTACTAAATGTAAAAAAGATAAATACAAATCAACCGTAGGCGCGCACACAAACAACGCCGAGCGGAAGCTGTGTGTGTGTGTGCCTGTGTGTGTGAGTGTCTGTGAGAGGTGCTCAGAAGCTGGGGAACATCATAATCATCTCCATCAGCTGGAGCAGCTTCATCTTCACATCCTGGTGGTCGCCACTGCTGTCGTCATCGTTGTCACATCCCGGCATAAATATTTATGTTGACGAATCTACCTGCGGCAGAGCGTCGCTAATGAAGCGGGCGAAATGAAAATAAAAGGACATAATTATGCTTATGTGTGAGTATAATGAATACGAATTTCACTCCACAAGGCCAGCAGCAGGGAACTACCAACAAAAGCTACGAGTGCACTTTGTTCAACGAAAATCGCTGGGGGGAATTTTGTGCATTTTCGTTTGTTTGTGCTTTCCGTTACGGTTGAATGTCTAGGACTTCTCTTTTTATTTATTTTCAGCTTCTGTCCAGGTGGTTTTTTCCCCTCCTCCTCGATTGCACTTTTCATTTGGGTGTGGGGCGTTTGATTAGTACCGAACTCAACCAAGTTCCCAGCAATTGAGTGCAATTAGGCAACTGCATTAGAGGAAACTTTCCGCCGGCAAGTTGGTAACTTGAGTGCAAATTGCTGTCGTCCAATCATCTTCATAAAGTTGGCAGCCATGAACCCGCTGTCTTTGTTTGGCAGCCAATCCATTGTTTCCACTCAGTCGCTAACTGAGTTATGACCCCATTCGGTTTGTTCGTACCCACACAGACAGACAGACAGACATATGTGTGCACCACCACCACCACCACCTCCACCCCTCTGCTAATTGATATATTGTACGAGTCATTCTGGTGATCATGGCCAAAAGACTGCTAAAAGATTACGCTGACACAAGTGGAAAAGAAAGGGCGCTGCCAGCAGCAGACATTCAGCAGAACTTTTTGTATATTTATTAGAGTATGAATTAATTCAAGGGTGTGTGGTGTGTGGTGTGTGTGTGGGGAAAGAGTTAGGCCTTCGAGGCATATTCTGAATCAGATTCGTTGAATGGCAAGGGGCGGGAGGAGGCAAGGCAACCGCAGCCCGACGCGATTTTCCTTTTTCTCCTTGATTTTTTCGACTATTCCCTAGAGGGAATTTTGTTGCAAACGTTAGCACATCTTTTTTCACTCCACCCACTGTGTATGGCGAATGTAATTCATGTACACGACCTTGTTACACAACACAAAAAAAAAAGAATAGAGAAATGAATGGGTCTGTGAGTCTCGCTTTCATAATTAAAATGCAGAAAGATGTGGTCCAGGGTGGCGACCTCAAGATACCCAGCCAAATAACCAGAGGGAACCATTTATGCTTTGGCTTGATTGGTTTTTCATAAGCAATGCATAGACAGAGGCTTTACTCAACTAGGTGTTTTAAATACATCGCATTCAGCATACTTTAAGGCTGCACAATATATAGGGTTTTGGATGTGAGCCTTGAACTCCGAGCCGCACAAACATTTATGGTGCTTTTATTATTAGCAACTTAAGCTGGCGTGCCAAGAAATCCTCTGAAAAGGATGACGATTACCTTGACTATGAAAATATTTCTCACACATGAGCTGCTCGAGCGCATCGCACAGCCCTCCTTCCGTTTCCGGTGCCTCCCATTAACGTTTTAGTCTGCGGAAAAAGGCAAAACCGAAAGGCAGCCACTATTTTCAGCGAGGGTTGGGCGAAGCGTTCCCGCGAATTCGACTGCAAACGGAGATGGAGACTTCCGCCCGACTGCAATCCATCGAGCTGCCTTCGCAGCCGTTCAGGTGTTGGTGTGGGTGTTGACCCGAGGGTTCGCCTCAGACTGGTTAACTGCCTTCACCTGGGAGCACACCTTGACACAGACAAAGGTCAGGGCAGATGTGTTGGGCGCCACAAAGGCCAAGTGGCATCCACACCCCAGCCACGACTAGCCTTAAGTGAATTAAACAGGAATGCAGATGCCTTTGTGTTTCGCTAGTTTATTGTGTTCCATTGGGAACCTTTTTTAGTTCCGCTCCAAGTTCCGTGGCTTGTTTTCAGGATTACCGTCGTATCTGTCGTATCTATACGGCCGCCTCATTTCGGCGGAAAATCCGGGTAGTGGCAGCAGCAGCAGCAACGAAATCAGCAGCAGCAACTGCATCGCAAATCCAAGTGTTAGCGGCCACATTTCGAATACAACTGAGATGCACAAGCTGATAGCACAAACGCGTCAGCAAAATGGAAGTATTAATAGCACACCGCGAAAAACAATATCCGAATATCCGAAAAACATAGATATCCGAAATAATTATGTAACCCCGAGTACTGAGATTGAAATCTATTTTTGGCAGATAACCATATGTAGGTTATAGATTAAAGGCGACATGAATAAATACTCGTAAAGCTGACCCAAAACAATACGTGCAAGATAATAAAAATCTAATTCTTTAGCAATTTTCCAGGCTCTCTCTATGTTTCAATTAAAGTTTTAAATTAAAGTGTAGCATAAAGATTAAAGCGTAGTACTTTTATTATTCAGTACTGAGTTCAATTTGATAAGAAATAAGTCAAGCAGAGTGTGGGGGATTTCACCAGCTCCAATCGTGATAAGGATTCTGGGGTTAAGGGGCTGCTTACACTGGGCTGGCAGCTTGTAAAAACTTGTGAAAACCCCGCGAAAGAGTTCGCCCGATTGAAATGATTAATTAATTGCTGGAATCGAGGTAAGCTGAGCGCGTCCAGACGAGCATCATTTATCACGGCGTGGTCTTAATACGAACGCCTGCGCGGCTTACGGGGAAAATGGGAAATTTGGAGGGGAATTGTGTTATTTTAGGGCGGGCACACATTATGATTTCGTCTAAGGCTTTTATTTCTTGTTTTCCATAGACTTTTCCACCATTGTTTGCCATTCATCTCTGACTCTCCATTGACTCTCGCACCGCCCTATGTTTTGCAGTTTACGTGTTAAGTGCTTGGCAAGCACGATTAAGGCGCTTTATCACCCGCAACAACGGCAGCAACACGAACGACAAGCACGCCAGCAGCAGCAACAGCAGCAGCAGCAGCAACAGCAGCAACAGAGTCAACAGCAACAGCTGCGACGGCAGCAACATCAAAAGCAGCAGAGGCAGCAGCAGCAGCAGCAAGACATCCCGCTGTAGGCGCACACATTGACACGCCCCCAACCCAGATTCATACACGCACACATAGACGAGTACAGAAGTATATAGTGGGATATATACAGGCGGGATGCTGAAAACTGTGACAACAGCAATGGCTGCCGGCGATGACGATGTGCCAGCGAGCATTTTGGAAATAGAACTGCCAGCCATTTTGCTCAACGAGAGCCTCTTCATCGAGCTGAATGGCAATCTCACCCAGCTGGTGGACACGACCACCAATCTCAGCCAAATCGCGTGGAATCGCAGCGAAAACGGCAATGGCAACAGCAACGTTTTCGACCCGGTCGACGATGAGCAAAAGCGGGCGGCGGTCCAGTTTTGGCTACTGGTCAAAATGATCGCCATGGCCGTGGTGCTGGGCCTCATGATACTCGTCACCATCATAGGCAAGTACTTAATCAACACCAACACCAAATCCAAATTTAAATTACCACAGCGAAAATGTCGGCTTGGGCGGGGGGGGTGTGGACATTAAATTATACTCAAATTTATGCCGTGGGGATATGGCGGCGAAAAGTTTCCATATCGCCGACAAAAACTGAACTGTAAATGAAGTAGAATTTATGATGCAGAAGATTTTTATTGCGCCCTCTTGGAAGATTTTTATTGATTTTTGGGCTTACAGAGATGATTTGCAGCCGCTTGCTCTAAGCAATGGGCCTTTGAAATACCTCGAAAGATGGGTGTCGGCTGCTCAAGGGTGGCTGATTGTTTTGGTTGGCTAGATGATATACGAGGAGTTCTTTGCGTTAAGCGCCGCAAAGATGCCTGCCAAAAAAGGGGGGGAAAAACGGGGAAAAGTTTCCAAAAAGTGTTTGCCGCGGCACGTGAAAAGCTATTAAAATGGCGCCAAGGCGTCAAATGCAAATTACGACGAGCACACACACACTTTTTGGCACACGATGTGAAGGAGGTGTTTTCATACAGCGAAAAAAATGTTCAGATGATTCTAGCCGTTTTCAAGTATTCGCATATTCCGGGTTTAAGCTTAACTGCTAGAAATGCCTTTATCCTTTGCCCTTAAAGGGTATAATATATTTCAAACGAAACCATACTAAACTTGCCCTAATTACGAGTAACTTCTAACCGCATTAACCCGACGAGTGAAAATATCACATGGCACGTTTGCCACAAACCTAGTAATTAAGTGGTTTTACTAAGAATTCATATCATAATTTCAAAGCTAGAAAACAATTACCAAATTTGCAGCAATACAGTAGTAAACAGTAATTACTGGCATGTCCATTTAGCATGTTAGACAAGGCAAAGCCATTTATTCAAAGGACATAATTACCCTATTTATTCCCAGACAGTTTCTTTGAAACGTCTTGCTGCACAGACAGCTCAAGTTAAATAAGGTTTTAATATCTGCGAGGATTGCAGGGAGCGGGGGCTTTGACAGAAAGCTATATCTAACCAAGCAGCAATTTCATAAGCATTTTGCGCTGTGCTGCACACATACACACACGCAAATATAGCGCTGGGAACACACGTCGTATGAGCAACATTGCAATGCATTTTCTGGCAGGGGCCAAGCGACGACAAAACGTTTTGACAACCTGCAGACAAGCTCGCTGTCTCAGCAGCTCCAGTCTGCCAGGTTGTGGGTCCGGATGGGGCTGTGGCGCCACAGTGGCTGCCCCGGCAAAGCAGGGGATGGATGAGGGATGAGATGAGGTGGCAGTGCGGCAATTACAATTTGCCAACTTGCATGCGCTTAATCAAAGCAAGCAACGACAATGATGATGGCGCTGATGGAGCTTGGAGCAGCCATCCAGTTCTCATTTGCATCCCACAGGCGGGGGGCACATGCACGATTGCCTGCAATTAGGCCGGAAAATGAAGACTCCTTTGACACGAAACCTTTGCCACTGATTGATTTTGCACGTCTCCGTGGAAAGTTTTCCAAGGCTCATCGCCCATCGCCCATCGCCCATCGCCCATCTGCCAAAGACGAACGAGCACAAAAGTTAATGACTCTGGCCACTCAACGTTTGCAATGAACTGCATGCGAATTTGCTTACCCATTTATTGGCACTCGAACGGAAAACTTAGTGCGCCATTTGCCGCTTCACTTAATATATCAATTTATCAATTTATCGCTTTCTGATGGCAGATTCTGTCTTATATTAAACCATCCACAGGCAATGTATTCGTAATTGCCGCCATTATACTCGAGAGAAACTTGCAGAATGTTGCCAATTATTTGGTTGCATCTCTGGCAGTGGCTGATTTATTTGTTGCCTGTCTTGTCATGCCGCTTGGCGCCGTCTACGAGGTAAGTACTTGCTCTCTTTCATTCTGCACAGAAAGAAATAATTCGCTATTAAATTTCGAGGCACTATCTAGAGAATGTTATGGAAAATGCAGGACAAGATATGCAAAATAAGAAAACTAAGAGGCCATCTTAAATGCATTTATATTTTGGTTAGTTAGAGCTTCCTCACGTTTTTGGTTATTTTATTACCTTTTAATACTTTTGAAAATTAGAATTTGTTTTTCTTTAATCGGTAGTTACGCAAAAGAAAGTATATTCCATTGTTGACTTAAAAAGAAGCATATTTTAGGGCCTTTCCAGAGTTTGTTACTGTGTACCTGCACTGGTATTGCAGAGCCAACTCGATTACCCTAATGGAAACTTGAGCAGGAATGCTGGCAAATGAAATTAGGCGCCAAAGAGTTGACACTGGCCCAGGGCAACCTCGTTTGCTGGGCGACTAATTGTTTCAATTGCATCACGCTGGCAAACAATGTGTTGCTAAAAGTCACTCCTTTCTGTCTCCTTTCTTTACGCCCTCGACTGTTCAATGAAATCGGTGCGCCGGCAGATAAGTAATGGATGGATATTGGGACCGGAACTGTGCGACATTTGGACGTCTTGCGATGTCCTTTGCTGCACAGCATCCATACTGCACCTGGTGGCCATTGCGGCGGACAGGTAAGTGCTGCCATTCAGTCAGCCAGTCAGACAGATGGCAATTTGGACGTCCTTCCTCCTTCCGTTACAGATATTGGACCGTGACCAATATCGACTACAACAATCTGCGGACGCCGCGACGCGTATTCCTCATGATTTTCTGCGTCTGGTTTGCCGCGCTGATTGTTTCCTTGGCCCCCCAATTCGGCTGGAAGGATCCGGACTACATGAAGCGCATCGAGGAGCAGCACTGCATGGTGTCGCAGGATGTGGGCTATCAGGTGAGCAGCACTGCAGTTCAGTTAGCCTCCAAGATTCCTGGTCTAAGCATTGATTCACTCATTAGGTTCGCTCTTTGATTCAGTCATTTGTCAATACAATATACAATATACAATATATAATAGCTATACAATGGTAATGGACATTTGGGTCTCTTTAGATATTCGCCACCTGTTGCACTTTCTATGTGCCGCTGCTGGTGATTCTGTTTCTGTACTGGAAAATCTACATTATTGCCAGGAAGCGCATCCAGCGACGTGCCCAGAAGTCATTCAATGTCACACTAACCGAGACTGACGTAAGTTAATCAATGACAAGACAATCCCAGTTAGAGCTAAGTGCCTCACGAAATGCGAGTGATGAATGCCAAGTGTCCACTTAGCCAGCCTCCCATGGAGAAGAGTGGAAAAATTACTCATACGCCCGGTGGCACAAATAAGCTGCTATTCCATTCTGTCACATCCCTTCTACACAATTCATTCTCCTTTTGGGCTGGCTAAGTGGATGTGGAGGCTGCTGTTCGAGAAGTGTATTTGCTTGCCTGCCATAATGAGTGTGTCATTAACAGAAACAATAAAGCGCAAGGGGGCGTGGCAGTAGTCGATGGTCGGCGGAAGTCCACAGTACTCAGTCCTCAGTCCTCAGCTGCTCATTAGCATGCCCAAGTGAGCACTCGAAGCGAGCCGCTGCCGCGAAAGCCAAACAAATGCCGCCCGAGATTTATGATCACCCCAATGTGAGGCGATAAGTACACTGGCCATAATGCAGCAATTAGAAACATATAGCTTATACAAAAGGGCATATTTTATGGGTGGATGATAAATTAATAAATAAAAGAAATAAATTCATTCATACTTCAATATGCTTGCACCACGCATAGGGGTAATTTGTATTTGAATAAATAAATTCGACTACTTTTCCCAGTGTACCTAGACAACTAAGCCCAAAGGAACGTCGATAATTCCGCATAATGCATGTGATTTGTTTTCGTTTCGTTGACAAGACACAAGCCAAATGTGCTTCCCCGAACAGTTTTCATCAAGTTCGTAAACATACACATCCCATAAACTAAGTACTTGCCTTTCGCACACATATATTTCCACCGATCGTCGAGCAGTGCGATTCCGCGGTGCGTGAGCTGAAGAAGGAGCGCGGCAAGCGGCGGGCGGAGCGGAAGCGGCTGGAGGCGGGCGAGCGGACGCCCGTGGACGGCGACGGTGCGGGCGGCCAGTTGCAGCGGCGTCCCCGCAAGCGGATGCGTATATGTTTTGGCCGCAACACGAACACGGCCAATGTGGTGGCGGGCTCGGAGGGCGCGGTGGCCAGATCGATGGCCGCCATTGCCGTGGACTTCGCCAGCTTGGCCATTACGCGCGAGGAGACCGAGTTCAGCACCAGCAATTACGACAACAAAAGCCACGCGGGCACCGAACTAACCACCGTGTCCAGCGATGCGGATGATGTAAGTACGCCCGTTGAGTCGGAATATAATTAAGAACTGCAAGCAGTCGAATATTTTGCCCAGCAAAAATAAGATTTACGTTCAAATTAAAGTTGAATCAAATATTCAGGCTGCGTCTCTAGTTACCTAAAATGAAATATAACTTCAAGCAGTTAGATTTAATAACTGAGAACCTTTTAAGTGCCCAAGAAGGTTCTCCCATGGCAGTTTGTCCGTCTTACTTTAATAGTTACTTGCTCGTGGCGCGCCCTTTGTTCGTGTGAGATTAACCCATAATGCCCCGCTTAACCCCTTAGTATCGCACCAGCAACGCGAATGAAATCATCACGCTGTCGCAGCAGGTGGCCCATGCCACGCAGCACCATCTGATAGCCTCGCATCTGAATGCCATTACGCCGCTGGCCCAGTCCATAGCAATGGGTGGTGTTGGCTGCCTGGCGGCGACCTCGCCCTCGGAGAGGGCGGTGTCAGGAGCAGGAGCAGGAGCTGGAGCTGGAGCGGGAGCGGGAACGGTGGCTGTAGGAAGTGGAAACGGAAGTGGCGAGGAGGGGCCCGGAACGGAGGGCAAGAATGCCGGAGTGGGACTGGGCGGAGTGCTGGCCAGCATCGCCAATCCGCACCAGAAACTGGCCAAGCGGCGACAGCTCCTGGAGGCGAAGAGGGAGAGAAAGGCCGCCCAGACGCTGGCCATCATCACCGGCGCCTTCGTCATCTGCTGGCTGCCATTCTTCGTCATGGCCCTCACCATGAGCCTGTGCAAGGAGTGCGAGATCCACACGGCGGTGGCATCGCTCTTCCTCTGGCTGGGCTACTTCAACTCGACCTTGAATCCGGTATGTAAATTAGCTCCTGGCCCGGGTATCCTTGAATTCGCTTTTAAGTTGCACCCTTTACAGCAAATTGCTTTGAAATTCAATAGCTTTAGTAGGCCACTTAGACAATTTTTTATTGGTATTTATAAATACCCGTTGCATGTAATGTTTGCTTTAGCTTGCTAATAAACATCGTTTTCTATAAATAAAATCCATCATACCAGGTCATCTACACCATCTTCAATCCGGAATTTCGACGCGCCTTCAAGAGGATTCTCTTCGGTCGAAAGGCTGCCGCCCGAGCGCGCAGTGCGAAAATTTGATTTCAACTGAAGGATAACGAGGACCAGTATTTGTAATTAAGGTCAGGCGAAGGAGAAAGCAAGGTCTATACAGACGGGAAGGCAATATGCTACGGAATTGGCATTGTATAATGGCAAACTAGAGAGTAGAGACGATGTTTTAGCAGTGACAATCCTAACTAGCTGTAACTAATTAACTAAAATTCCTCACCACACACACGTGCCCCAAAAAGACAAAACGCGAAATATGTAATGAAACAAAAGTTAATTGTAACCGAAACCAACCGAGAAATGAAAACGTGGAAATACGGTAGCTGATACTCACTAAATCTAAGCTATGCGTATCTATTAGTAACTATAGATATTTCTAAAGTCTTCCCTGTGTCTTAAAGAAACCCAAAAGTAGTACGCTTAGATACCCTAGAAACCCTAAGTAGGTCGGATGAACAGTGATTGGAGATCGAAGATAGTGATCGGTTATATATAGGCTGGGTCCAAAGAACTTCTTACGCTTTCATATTCTGTGTTAGTTAATTGCGTTTATTTATAGCCTAGCTGCAAAATGCTCAATTATTTCAATTGGATAAGCACATTTACATAAAGGTCAATATCAACAAAGATTAACGAATTTACACAGCTAACTCATAACGACACTAAAACCAAAACCAAAATGGATAAGCCACTAACGCAGTGGCTAATTAGGCAGTACACCCAACTTTATTCGGCAAAATTAGCATAAATCCAAAACCGAAAGCTGAACTTTCGTTACTAATGTTTCTCACACACATACACGTGCCATTTGCAATGCAGGAAGCCGCAACAAAAAGTTTGACCCATGATACATGCATTCATGTTGGTACAGCATCACAAACACACACCCACTCGTATATATATTTAATATAGTATATTTATTGTTAAATTTTTGAAAAGTTTTCTTGTAAATAAACGGACTTACAGTTTTAGCAAATAGTAAACCAACCGAAAAACCTACAACCACAACAAGAGCAACAACCACTCGAATAACAACCATGGATATATACACGTCGCTCTGTATGTAAGGGCCATTAAGTCAATGCTGCAGTTGAAACCTAATACGCTTCGGTATGCACATGTATGCGTACCCACACATATGTCTATCTGATATGTATTTGTGTGTGTTTTGTCAGTGTGTGTGTCTGTGTTTATGCAACTTCTCGATGTGTACTTGATGTCAAAGTTATTAAAATTGTGTTTTATCAAAGCGTACACCTGCATTCGATATTTTATTCATGGTCGAGGGATATGATGGGGATATATTCGAGGGTCTTCGGCCATTCGTTGGGTGGCGGTGTGTTTCGGTACTCTGCTCTAAATTGACTAACTTTTCAGCCCAGTGCCGACCGCACGCACGTCTGTATTGTTTGTAGCTGGGCAAAATGTCAGCGCATTGAAATGTCAAAGTTCAAGTGCACACTCACGCCCCAAAAAGTGGGTGTGGCCGGTCGGGCGGCATGGGAGATGGATTACGCATTGGCATTATCAACGCCGGAACAGGCCAAAGCCGACAAATGGCCCAAAAATCGATACATCATGTAGGGCCCAGGGGCTCGGCGTGCGAAATTGGAATTCGTGTAATTCGTTTCGGTACTTCACGTTCACATCCCGACCCCTCCTCACTTACTTTTTCCATCTGGCTGTCTCTGGCTGCAAGTAAGCTCATTAACAGTGGCCCTCTGCAGATGGAAACTGGAAAATGGAAAATGGAAAATGGAGTGTTGAGTGCTTGGTCGGTGCTCAAGAGCCGAAACTCAGGTGTGCCATTGAAGAGCCATCAGTCAATGGGCCGTAACCACATTTGCCACTTCACACTGTTCAAAGTGCGATGAATAATTTGAAATTTTCATGTTAGAAAACATAAACATGGAACTCGAACTATCAGTAGTTGTAGCACGAAAATCTCTATGATATATTCTACTACCTCAATATGTTTCACAGCTCTCGCCCACTCTCTAGTCCAATAATTATGAGACTCACTGTAGATCCGGACACAATCGAGTATGCCAGTAATAATATTTACCAACACTTTTAATTTCCTGTTGGCCCGGGGACAAATGTCCTGCGGCAGCGCCATTATTAAAGCAAAAAGAATTACAAAATCTGCCTGGAAAGTGAGTGAAAATTTCGGCTGCCAGCCAAGTTCGGGGTAATGACAAATTAAATATCTTCAACTTGAGCAGTCAGGCCATGCAAATAATAATAACGCCACTTGGGAACTTTTCGAATTGAATCGAAGGGCAAATGAAGCAGGAAAACTGAAAAAGGACGAGTGCCCCAAATGTGTCATATCATCCATATATCTACCTCACACACAGGCACACACACACGCATACACACGCACTCACACACTCATGTGGAGGTGCGTGCCTGTGTATGCGGGCCTTTATTAGCCTAGTAGCATTATTAATTTCCTCTCTGGCACACAGCAATGGCAATAGCTGCAGGATAATGCCAATAAAATTCGTTTTATTAAAAAATTCTTTTGCCAAAAAATTCCATAAATCGAATAAATATCGAGTGGCACTTCGGCAATCGTTAAGGGATGTCGGTGGAGGTGGGCGGCATGCGGGGATTCGGGGGATTCGGGAACTGGGGGCAGTTAATATGCCACATGAGTGGGGCAGGATTCGACAGGCGGCAGTAGGAACAAAATCCCGCTCTGTTTGCTTGGGCATCAATTTTTGAAGTCTGCTTGAGCCGCCGCACCGAGCAACTTTGGCCAAGCAATTCAAAAGGTATTAAAAGTATTAAAACGGAAATAAGTGTGGCCCAAGTAAATAGATATATATATATCTATCTATTGGTGGTCAGCATTAGGATCTTCGAGGATGTGTGGGTAACTTTTAATTGAATTGCATTGGGAAAGTGCAAATTGCTTTAAATGATTAAGGGCTTATAGCCATGGCTTTTACTAAGACCCAACCACATGCTCATGCACAGGGAAAATAATCGTATGCTTTAACTTGATATAAACTTAAAAAAAATGTGTGAAAGTATTCTATGATATATTTCCAAATAAATAGTCATATCAATCAATTTTAAAACATTTTATTATTATTACATTTAATTCTCTCTACTATTTATAAACTCTGCTTCCATATTTCCATACATTTTCTAGTTCTTCAGCAACCTATTTTTAAAACTTCACTTAAGTTCTGATAAGCGCCTAGTTAAAAATAATATTAATATATGTAGCTATGTTTCAAGCACTGTATAGCTGATTTTGAGCTGTATTTGAGCTTAACTGCAGTGGTTTGTGATCAGATACTATCAAGGTGTTATAAACCTGAACGCTATTCATTAAAGTGCTGCAGGTGAGACAGCTCATAAAATCGCGTTAACATCTCGGTGCGGTAAAAAGAAGAGATGGGTAAAAAAGTAAGCAGGTAAGTACGAATACTTAAAGCTTCTGGCGCCAAACAAACTCATTGCGAAGTTGTTGACACCACCGGGTGGGCCATTCAATGGACTTGGCCAGGACACAAAAGATGAGTGTCCACCGCCCTGGAAAACTTCGACTTTGTAAAGACTTTTTGCAAATTGCGGCCAAGTGCACTTTTCGTTGCCTTCGAATCTGATGCCGCATTGTGGTACCTGCTGCAGCCATGGACATTTGACAGGTGGGCAGGTTGGACAGCTTGTTGGCGTGGAGGTCCTGGAGAGGTCCTGGGGAGGTCCTGGCGAGGTCCTGGAAGGACAGGACGGTCTGTGTGCCCAGCGAGCTACTGCTGCTGCCTGTCTGCACTAATTACGAAATAATTGAAATCATTACGCAAAATGAGTGCCAGCAAGTTAAAGTTCCTAACGGGTAGGGTTTCAGTTAATGAAAGCACCAGCTCAATATCTCAGCGAATGCTCTGCCATCTCTCCATCGCAAACACGAGTCCTTAGCGCACTTAACTCATCAGCGATTGTGGCTATTGCAGCGAATCGGAAATATTGCAGTTTGCTACTTCAATATGTACGAAAGGACCTCGTTAGATGAGACACCTGCGAGACCAAATAAATTTGTAGATAAAAATGGATATGTTTTATACTTTATCGGCAATTCGAAGCCTCAAATTGTGAACCCAAGGACTGACAACTGTGGCTGGAAGTCTGCTATCGCTTTTGGCCAGCAGTCTTTGGCGCTAACAACTAGCGCAAAATGCCAAAAAGGACACGTACGTAATGAACACAAACACGTACGAAGCAATAACGGCAGGAACATCAGCGACAACGCTCCAGACTTGGCCCACAGATAGGACCTGGCTTAAAGTTTCAGCTGGCAAAGTTGCAATAGCGCAGATGAGGCAAAAAGACAGGACAGCCAGCCAACCAGCCGGCAGCCTTTTGGCCAAGCACGAACGGCAGAGCGGAAGAAAAAACTCAAACTTGCTGGCAAAAGTTTTGCAGTTGCTGCATTTGTAGTTTCTCCTAACCGAAGGGCGATGGGAGCGGTCTTGGGATAGGGTTTCTCTTGGGTCCTGGATCTAAAAGTGGGTTCGGGCCAGGAGGATGTGCAGTCGGCGTGACGCTCAACGCCAGCGGAAGTTGCAAGCCCGTCCTGTCGACTGTTGCATTTTGGAAGCTTCGAAGCTGCCAACTGGGAATAGAGATAAACACAGAAAAAAAGGGAGGCCCATGGGGTTCATTTTAATAGGCACTTCTGAGAATATAAAATAAATATTTTAATATTCATATTTTTGAACACTTTTTACTGCTTTAGTAAACTAAATCCCTTTTGAATACATAACTAGTTTCATTTGGCAATGAAAAGATATCAATTATAATGCATTATTCTTTGTTTCGTTGATTACAGCACAATTTATACCGGCTGGATTGAATTAGTTGTTTTACTAACTAATAAAACTAATAAGCACTTTGCGAGTCGTATAACTATATTGATTATTGCACTGTATTGAATTATTACTGCCCTCTTTTTGCACAGGAACTTAAAGTTAAATTAATGAAATGCATTTAATGTTTTTTCAGTGTACGAGCTAGGAAGCACTTGTGGTAGTTGCTGTTGTTGCACTGCTAGTCTTTGTTGCTGTCCTTCTGGTTGCCAGTTACAAGTGCCGCTTGCTTAATTTTTATGCACTTTGCAGGGTGTGCGTGTGTGCGTATCTCACGAGCGTGTGTGGCGCAAGTGTGCTGGTGTGGAGCAGTAACAGCTCTTGTTGGTTTTCTGCATATTTACTTGGCGGTGAAATGAGGGGGCACTGGGGCTCTAGGGGAGCTATTGCGTAAACGAGGCTGCCCCGTTGGGCTGCCAAGTTTCGCACAGTTGAAGGGTAAACTTTCCGCCGAGCGGCGTGGCCTTGACTAAGTTCAGACACTGACATTGTGACTTCCGTGCCAGTCGCCCACAGCCACGATAAATGAACCCGAAATTGAAATTTAATGTAGCATCATCGGTGGCAGCGGCAATGCAACATCTGCACGAGCATCATTTGCATACGTATGTAAATACGTGCAGCTGATGGGATTTATGGCCATTACCATCGCGCGATCTGATTTCAATGGAGTATGAAGTAATTCGTATTAACACAGGTCTTTATATAAGGACGCGCATTTTGTATATCCATCAACATACCAGTTTAAATACTCTGGTCTTGTGCCTTCAATTGAAATGTTGTATTTAAGGACCTTCTTTATAGCCTTAAAGCTTCCCTTTACAAATTAATATCATTTTCACCAGCGAAGCATACTATTTTCTACTTTTTATTAAACGCTCGTTGAATTTATTGATTTTAACTCAAAACAAAAACGAACGAACGAACGGCAATTAGATAAAAGCTCCAATGCGTTTTTCATAATAGACAGTTAAGTTTACACAAAAGAACAGCTAGTA